TATATATATATATATATATATATATTATTTTTAAAATCTGACAGTCACACTAGAAGAAATTCAGGATTTTTTTACATATTGCCTTATAAAATTAAGAACTTAAATCTTATATACTATTTAAATATGGATTATTAGCTACGATTTTATGCTATACTAATTGTATAACATAAACATAAATAGTTTAATAAAATCTTGAATGTAAGTCACTAAAGCCTCGTGACATGCACATTAAATAATGCCCAGGCAGAGAGGGTTAAATAATGTAAAGACAGTACAAAATATATTTGTCCTCTTGCTGTCTGTTGTTTTTTTCTGTCTAGCTGATGCATTTTTTTGTACATAACCTCATGCACTAATATCTGAATTAGGCACACAAACATGGTAAAGACATATTCTTTTAAAAATTAGTCTAAAAATAGTCTTTGTAATAAAAAATTGTTAAAGAAGTGATACAAATAATTAAACATGAAAAATACCTGCTTCAACTGGTAGTTCTTACAATAAATTTTCTTTATAGCATATTCGTTTTGATCAAGATGAGACCGGACCTTGATAAAAAACATCAAACAAGTTATCCTTAAACAATACCATAATTATTTGATGAAAATAAAAGATTATTATAATACTTTACATAAAAATATTACTTCCTAAATGAATTTTCATATGATTGCCCAAAATAAAGGAAAGCATGACTGACTGGTTAAATTTGTAAAACATTTTGCATAACATCAACACTAAGAATACCTCTTTTACCTTTATTATAATGTTTCATGGAAACAACCGATTTTTTCATTTCACAAAACAAATACTACTTTTAAAAAAAAAAACACTCCTTTTAAATAACAAAGGTTTCCACCCCTTAAATTTTAGTTTAATGCAACTTAAGTTATAATTTTACTACACTGAAAATGTATTTCCAATAGGTAATTACCTCCTCCCACATAAATAGCTATTCTCATTCAGTGCTGCTCTCTATATGCAAAAAATTATTTTACGCATGCCACAAGCCTTCTATCTCCCCTCCATTGGAACTGACTGATTCCAATTAGTTTCTCATGCAAATCATCATGTGTTAACCCTCCACTAATATGAGTGTGACATACTCTCATGATGCATGTGGATCCCTCTATTCAATTCTACCAAACTATCACTTTGATTTTTGGCAGCAAATGGAAGCACTGGTTTTCAGTGGGAGGAAGGGTGGGAAGTATGAGAAGAGGTAAGTACCTATCGAAAATACATTTTCTGTATAGGAAAATTATAACGTCCGATACAGTACATTACCACCGCTTGCATAAACAGCTAGAATCCCACACTGATTAGGTGGAGGGACCGGAGCAAGGTAAAAAACGAAGCACACTGAAGGACACTCAATAAGATGAGACAGTCAGATTCTAAGATCTGATGTGGGGTACTGCACCACTTCTGAACCAGGTATACTCTTCGCCCATCGTAGAAAGATGTTGCATATATAGGAAGAAAACAGAAAAGCACATCCAATTGGTAGAGCACTATGGCCAGAAAGTGATCCAAACCATGCAATATTTATGTAACTCAAACTCAGAAATTACAAAAGTGGGTAAAATGAAAAGGATGTGCCTCTAAGTGTGGAGTGGCTAGGGCAGGACGAACTGTACATGTCAAATTAACTACATCCAAAATCCATGCCGCTGGGAGCTAACATCCACGTGAGAGTAAGATGAGGATCATACTGTTGGTAAGTCAATTACAATCCAAAACCCAGCCACCAGGTAATGACATCCATGTGGGGGTAGGAAAGAGGATCATACCATCTTCACCTCTAGTTCGTGAGACAGGAGGGAATCTAATATCCCCCCCACACACACTCACGAACGGGGCACATGTGAATATGATAAATTGATCCGGGAACCTGACATCCAGTATCGAAAAGATGTCTATATAATATAAACCATCTTTCTCAAAAGTGAAATTGACCAGAACCACCCCAAGAACATTAACATCGGAATAAGAAACATTGAGGGATAGCGAAAGGGGAACAACCGTAACAATCTGCAATCACCTCCTCCGTGACCCACAACATTGAGGGAGAAATATAGACATCTGTAATACATGTGTGAGGACTTATGCTGATTGGTTCTACTCTAAATGTAAAACCCAACCACTGGGAACCCACATCTACGTGGGGTAGGATGAGGGATCCAAATCGAAAGGGTGAACTATAATTTTGACACCTCAGTCCCATTTGTTTTTGGAGGATATCATGTCATCTACACCAGTAAAACACCACTGCCCTACTCTCAACTGAATGATTTTATAATAATTTCTATATTTTGTTTGTATTTCACTAATCCATTTAGGAGGATGCCTCTATGTTACACCCCCAGCAGCTTGGACTTGAAAAGTGGTAAGGACTCTCAAACTTCACTAGAAGAAAAGGGGGGTAAAATGTGGTGGTGAGTCCAAAGGAATGATAACACCTGAGATAGTGCAATGGGTGACCACAAAACTCTATTATTAAAAGTACACCATACCGATTTATTCAATACAAGGCATGGCAGCTATCCCCTTCCGCTTTACTCATGTAGTCCATGGGTGGGTACAGTGCGGGACAGGCAAACTTATGAAGCAATTCTATTGCAAGGATAAACCTACAAGAGATCTAGTGGAACACCCCATCCCTGCAGTGTGCATTGCATGGCCATGGAATTATAATATGCAAGTCAACATGGTTTGACAGTGCAGATTTGAAAAGTTAAAGGATACCTGGTCAGGCACAGAACAGGATCTAAACAATGAACATTAATAAAAGGGAAAGGGGCCCCTGAAAAAGAAAAAAAACAGGCAAAGTCTCTGAACTCTGATATTCTAGAAAGGCTACACGTGGAAGACGATACCCAGATAAGGATGAAAACCACAATCTGATGCAAATACTGAGAGACAAACATAACATGGGTAGTCCACATGCCCAACTGAAAACGTACCTCCAAAGGACGACGAAGATGACACACCAATGAAAAAGATAAAGTGTTGAATTGGGTGAGAAGACACTTGGAACAAAGTACAGGAGGAAGATGATAAAGAGGAAGAAGCCATTTGAATGAAGAGCCGAACCCAATTGGTGAAGGAGGAAGGAGAAAGAAGATGAACAGAGGCCAGTTGCCAAGGAAGAAAGAGGCAAGAAAGACACCACAGAAGGAAGCCAAGCAGGCAATATTACAGAGAAGAGTACATCAGGACATAGAAGTCTATCCGGATCAGGACGAGTATAAAGGTGTGAAAGGGATGGAAGGGAAAGTGGCTAAACAGAGGAGTTATCCTCATGAGCCACCAAACTGTTAGGGAGGAAAAATGATCCAGAGAAAGGAGAAGAAATGGACAGGACTGCCCAAAAATCTGAGACTGAGGAGAAAGAAGACCCCTGATCCAAAAGTCAAGAGAGGAAATCCACATGATGAAGAACACTGGGTTGATAAGGGGAAAATCCTGGACTAAGAAACCAACAATGGAAAAATTCCCTTTGCATTGAGAAACTTCTGTGCAGGAAGCGAGAATGAAACAAGCCAGAAAAGAGGCTAATTGCCGGGAGAAATCAGATCACCTCACCAATGACCAGAGGAAAAACAGGTGTGAAAATGCAGGACAGGAAGGTCTAGATGAAACATCAGTGACCAAGGGTGGTGAAGAAGAGACAGAGGAAAAGGTAATGGAGGAGGAAGTTGGAGCTGAAAAAGCTATGAAAACACAGCTGAGACAGCCAGGAAAGAGCTATCAGAAGGACTGAACATTGAGTATCAAGGATGAATGAAATCACCAAGAGAAGGAGAACAGGAGGACAGACAAATGTGTAGGTTCAATACTGGCTGAAAACAACAATAGCCAGAGCAAGAAGACGAAGAACCGGAGACCAAAACAAAGGCAAATTGTGTTTAAGGCATGTAGCAAAAACCTCAGTGTGAGGAGTACCTCACTGATATCAAAGCCATCAAAAAACAAAAGGATCAAGAGACCACTCCATCGAATAAATGTTATCTGGACAGAAATCTGATCCACAATAAGAGCAAAAGCACCCAGAGCAAGACACACAATGATAGGAATATCAATCATGGGCCCAAAAAGATGCCACCTTGGTGACTGAGATAAGTAACCACTGGAGAAAAGTCAGAATGGATAATTACCAGACAATTTCTGGCCACATAGAGAATATGAACCAAAACATGACCTACAGTGAGAAGCTCCAGGAAGTTGATAGGATAAGACCTCTTGGCCGCAGGCCAAAGACCCCAAATCTTCCAGTTAATCAACCCATTCCCTCCATCCCAGAAGGGATGCATCCATGAAATGTGGAAAATCAGATGAGGAAGAGGAAGTGGGATACCAGCTGACATGAGAGTCATATCTAACCACCAACGTCAATCAACAACAAAGGTAGGAGGAAGGGTAATAAAAGCTGACAAATAATCCCTGCAAAATTCCACTGATTGTACAAGACCATGAAAGAGCCCACATATGTGCCTGATCCCAGGGACTATGAGTACCACGGATGATCACATTCCTCAAAGCAATAGAACTTTGTAAGCTGTAATCAAATTGAAAAGCCATCAAAGTCAAAGAGGAGAAGGGCAGGCCCGACTGAGATGTGTGTAGAAAAAGAAAAACACCCAAATAAACAAGATATTGGACAGGTCACAGTAAGAACTTCTCCAACTTGATTAACTGCCCATTACAGCCGTCTCTAGGAGCAGCTGATAAGGGTAACAGGTGGACTCCTGTTCAGAACAAGCAACCAGTAGACAGTTGATAAAAGAAAGAGCAAAGCACAACCCGAGAGCATATAAGTAACAAATGAATGCTCTGAATGCCAAACAAAACTTACAGGGCCAAAGCTAGTCTGAAAGGCAGTGCGCAAAATAAAGAAACCATCTCGTGGAGAATAAACCAAAGAGAGGGTCGTGAGTGACAAAATTTCAGGATATGCAAATAAGCAATCGTGACATTCCTCTTTGTCATCGATGAACCTGGAGAAAAATCCCACCTAAGGGTGAGAAACAACTATAAGGTAAAATGAGGCAGATTGAAAATTATAATGAGGCAGGACAAACCTAGTACAGGCAGAAAAATCTTGTACTGCCTCAGATAGATGCAGGCTGGTGGCAGGATCCCAAGTCATGGGAAAGGAAGGAAAAGGGTACCAGGGACAAAGAAGGTGAGGAAAGGAATTGGATGACAAGTCCCTCTGATAAAACCCAAAGAACCCATGGAACTGTAGTAAAAGATCGCCAAAAGGTTTACAATATAATATAGTCAAGCTACTACAGGACTGGAACCCTCTTGTTAATCTCCAGTACTGTTGGCAACAATGAGATGAGAAACCCAGGATGAGAAAGGAATAGGGGCATGTCGTGACTCCAACTGCGACAAACATGCAACCAAAGAGGAAAGGGTCGAGTGTTGACACACAGATTACACACGAAGTTCCAAAGTCACAGATACATAAACAAAAATATATCATCAAAGAAAATACAGAAATCCCAAAAAAGAAAGAGGCAACAAAAGTTCCTGGGACAAG